TAACTACATAGCTATTTACGAATTTGAATACAATTTTCAAGTACGACAGTAAACCGACAAATAACAATCTAAAGGACTGTAGTAAGATTATTGTACGAAATTCCCAATCGTTTAGCCATACTCTCATCATAAAACAAAGTTATAATAGATTAAGTTCTGATGTGTACATATTAGTTAGATAATTGTATATTATAATATTTATAACACTGCATATATTATCAAATGCTATAAGCTCAAAACTCTCTAATTTTAGTTTTATTACTATATTATAATACTTAAGTACACAAATGGTTCTCTATAATTGAACAATCAATATAAATTATTTTATTTTTTTTTAAGGTGACCTAAGGCAGTTTTCATTTTTAATAATAAATTTTATTATATTTTTATATAATAATGATAGTGTATCACATTTTTACTAGTACACAACCTTTTGTATTACAAGCGACAGTGGACACTAAAATTGAAAATATCTAATATTAGTAATACTATTATTTTATTTCAATATTATATTTTGTTTACACAATATCATCAATATTTATAATCGCTTTAAATGTCCAAATATCACATAAATTTGTATACGTAATGTGATTAATAATTTTAAGACCAAAAATCGATGGCGTTTACTTTTACATTGATGTCAGTTTTACACTATGGTGTATAAATTGATACGTAATGATTAAAACGCTCCATGTTCCAATAATACTTGACAATTTATTAAGGTTGACTAAAAAAACTTCCTGATAGTCAACAAACAACAACTATGCATACGAATCGGAAACTCTTATTGTGTGACTTCGGCCGGATATAGATAGTGGACGCGTATAAGAATTAAGTGAATAGATTGTATAATGTACTATATACATATAAATATGTTATATACTTATTTAAAATGTTTATTTATATATATAATATTTGGCATTTGTACACTATATAATATAACGGTGCTATATAATAATAACACACGTACACTATTATACAGTAAATATCTGATGCTCCCATATTAAGTACACAGAAAGTTTTTTCTCTGCGATATCAAGTTGTCAACAGTGTGTATGAACTTTTGTCGCATTATATGTATACGAGGTAAATTATACGTGCCTAGTTGCATAATATATGTTTAATTACGCACTTGATTTATGAAGATATTTATTCTCAAAGGATAACAATTACTGCGATTTATTGTCATTCTTGTAAACATTGTATGAAACTCGTGACACTTTTTATCCTCGTTATTTTTATTTTAGCTGTTGATAATTTTATAAATTTTATCTCATCCGTTATCAGAGTCTTACTGTAACGACAAATTCATAGATTCATTTCAAATTCGGTCTGTCCGTCACTCTTATTTTTACCTCGACTAATGAACAGATTCACTACTTTATTCAACACTAAGCATAACATCATCCGTTTTGCGAACTATTGAGTAAATGATTAAATAAATGTACGGTTATGTGTTCGGTTCGTAATTGTCACGAGGTGCTATAATAAACTACCTAATAGTTTTTATTACTATATTCTAAACCATTGTGTGACATGCATATAATTCAAAGTATTGAGATTGGTCTTCAATCATATTTTGATTATTTTAATCTCATGCATATGGTATGTACTTACTAAACAAGACGTAAATGACCAACACTAAAAAGTGGATATTTTACTATACCTATACACACATTTCTGTATTATGTTTTAATACATATTATTTATGATATTTTATTTTAATAATATAAAAAGTTTGCATAAACATATACCCTAAGTATTCAAAATATGATTAAATATGTACATGTAATAATATACAATTGAGTAATTGTATATAATTTCAGAGTATTGGTTGTTTTTATTCTTAAATGAATAAATTGTTAATTTTTTTTAATGTATAATAATTGCATAGTAATTGGTGAAAAATTCTAAATTAAGAAAAATTGTGTAAACAAAATAAACGAAAATTCTGCTCAGAATTGTTGGAAGATAATTATATATTTATACATAGTTTTCTTCAAATGTGCAAAAAGTACAAAAATACTATATTATTTAGATCCGAATAGTATAACAATTTTAAACAAAACACATTAATAGTGTATCATAATATTTCATAGCTCTGTTCCATACTTCAGTGATTTTTTTTATCTTAAATTATAAATCTATCAGACGATATGACGGGGAAAATATTATCAAGGAAAAAAGGTCTGAATATTACACAATAGAGGGACCTGTTTGAATAAAATTGATGATCTCATGTGCTCAAAAAGTATAAATATACCTTTTAAGAAAATTTTGATACAAAAAAAAAATATATATATATACATTGTTAAATATTATGATGTACTTGAAGCACGAACGTCATGTTACTCGTGCAATTCGTTATCCATACATAACCAAGTAAATAATATTATAATAAAATAAAATTTAAATTAGTTTACATTGAAAATAAAATGAAAAAATATTATTTTACTGCAAAACAGTTTTTTTTTTTTTAGTATTTATATAAGTAAAATAAAATACTTTATAATCTTCAAAATTAAAATTAAATATAATAATATTTAAATTTGGTAATTAAAATAAGAACATTGAACAAAATAACTGGATGACGTGATGGGGCTACCAATGACACTATTTGAAAACAAAAAACATTAGGCATGATTAAAATTTTGAAAAACACGTAAAAAGTTTTTAATACCTAGTAATATAATTAGTTGATATCTACATTTCTGCTTCTCATAATTTTAATAGTATTTTCTAATATGTTGAATTTAAGAAAAGTACTTCAAATGCGTTAGCCAAAAACTTTAATCGTGCATGTAGTAATTGTTATAATTTTATACAGTTTTACAATCTAAATGAAGTATACAAAATTAAAGTTTTATAAGTAAAATTTATATCGAATTTAAAACTTCTTATAAAATATAAGCATCATGTTTAAAAATTCTAACTGAATACTTAAATATTCCTTTTTCTTAAAATAATGGTAGTAGATACTAAATATTTGTTTTTATATTATATATTTTGTAGCCTGAGTTTATAATATCCGAACATTATAATATAAAGTAAAACATATTTTATTCAAAACCATAAATTAATTAAACACGAATGTTGCAAATTCATATAATGGATCACCCTAAATATATATATAGTATATACTTTATGGATACACACAACAAACTTAATCATTTTTAATATTTGACCTTTAAAAATTGATCAAAATTTTAACAGTATAACGTGCATAAATAAATATAAATCAGTAATTAAAAAAAAATCTCACACACATACATACATCATAATATATATTTTGAAATGAATTTAAAGCTATTTTATATATTTATTACCACAAAGCGTTGGTTTTTTCGGATTCTCAATTGGTATTCTCTTTTTTTTTTTAACCATTGAGTTTCAAAATACATACTTCAGTGCCACAGTAGTGATCTGTATAGTTTAGTGCGGTACTCTATACGTATTGTATACGTTAAGCCGGATTAGGAAGACTGATATTTTATCCATAATCCAATATAAAAAATGAATCTACGAACACTATTTAATCAAATATATAAATATCTCCTGATTGAATGTATATATTAGCATAAAATATTTTTATTAACCTAGCTGCGTTTCTGTTTAATGATATATGAATGTATATATATTATATAAACTCAGACATTGGAAACAAAAAAAAAAAAAAAACGGAAAAAATATATAGAATTTAAATGTTAAACGAAGAATAAAGAAGGATCAATAAGTAAATCTACGGACATATAAATCTCTAATGACAAATATCTTTCCACCTGACTTAGCGAGAAAATAGAATTGTCTCATTATATTTAACTACACTGTATGTGTTTATGTGTATGTGTGTATATTTATATGCTAATATTTTAGTTTAAATTGTGGATGTATATGATGTATTAGGCAAAAAACATTCAAGTCATGTTTTAATGATGATTATAATAACAATAATTTAATGTATCATAAATATCATACGTAATAACGTTTTATGATAATGTTCTGCCGTGAACGAAACTCATAAATCATAACCTTATGATATGTAATGTATGAGACGTTACAAAAAATAAAGAATAAAAAAAGTGTTGATCTGTCGATACATATGTTAACCATATACATATGCGTACCCTTATAACACTGGAAGTGGAACTATCATCGAATAGTCGTCTTCGTCGTCTTACAATAATCCAGTCTCTTGTATACGATAACCTCAGCCCGTTACGCACTTGAAATACTCGGCATGTATGTATGTCAGTTGCACAAAATTTAACCTTTGTCTACAATCGTACCAAACGGGCCATATACTCACACAATTATTTACACAGTAATAAAATATAATATTTCTGTATAACTTTTCGACCCACATCACTCGTAAAAGTCGTATAGTCATATACACTGTTTATTCCACACAAGCACGCGTACACAATTCAGGGATTTCCACCTTAAAAGTGTTTACGCGAAGAAACGATAGTATATATATATAGCGTATGCGATGGAAGTCGCAAAAGAACTATAATATATAATAATAATAATAATAATAATATTAATATATGGAAAACGTGGAAAAAAAATCTTCCCATCGGTTTTGACAGAACACTTAAGCTGCCGAGCAAAAAAAAAAAAAAAAATTGCTAAAAAAATATTGTTAATATATATAATATATTATACAAGTAATATATGTTTAATAAAAAAAGTTACCTCTCTTTCGCACCGCAGCCATTTCGTCGACGACGATCGCACGCATACATCAAAATCGGGTTTACTATATGCGAGATGCAGTTATTGATGTGCCCGCGAACGAACGTCAACGGTGGAAATGTATAATATAAATCTCGGGAGGCGGGGGTAATAATAATAATAAAATAAATAGCAATACGTTATTATATGTGTGGCGATGATGACACGTCGCTAGTCTCACTTTGGTTTCGTTCGTGTGTGCATAATGTGAAGTGTGAATCTAAACGTATTAAAGTATATAAGTACATGCCTGGAAAAAAAAAAACATTTATTCGTAATATTAATCGAGCCAATCGATATTTTAAACGATTGGGATTTTTTTTCACCTTCAGCGCTTGTTTACTCCGCGTGACAGTTTTACAAATGTATCCAATTAACGTCGCGTAAGCTGAGTCTGGACGGAAGGTGAATATGTCTATATACATAAAAATTGTATAGGCGTAATATCTGTGTATATGTTGGAGTCCGCAGACGGAAGAAAAATCGTTGAAATACAGTTCACATATTTTTTATAATATATATTCTATATACGAGTAATATACTTACTTGCTAGACACAAATATTGCAATGTACTAAAAACATATAATAATATTTTAGTCTAGTGTGATATAGTTGTCATTAAATGTTTAGACAGTTTTGTAACTCTACCCAATAATTAAATCTCATAGACGATAATAATTAATATGCTTGAAAAATTATAGGCATTCATTTTAACAACATTATAACAAATACGAGTATGCTGCGATCTATAAGTTTTGATGAACCCTAATTATTGCGCTAACCGTTTACTTCGGAGATATATGCGTTACTATATTATTTAAATGCTGAGTAGTTCTAAAAAGTTACCTTTTTTTAAGACTACGCGTCAAAATTAACAACAATAAATAAACTGTGCTTAATGTACGAAGAAATAAAATATTAATTTGTTTATACGTAATACTGCTTTATCAGCATAATATATGTATACGTAAGTACAACATAAAATAAATTAATATAAATTTTCTATAATTTTATTTTAAAGTAATGAATACATTTATCCTCAGAAATTATGTAATCTATATATTATTTTAGTTCTTCAATAAATCACGACATTTTTTACTAATATTTTTTAACCTTAAGTTGAGGTATTAATAAGGCGGTCTTGCCTTAAAATAAATATTCACAACCCGGTTTTAATTTTGGTACACTGCCTGCCTTATCAAAAATTTATTTCGATGCTTGAAAATTCCTAGTTTTAAGTCCCCATATTTCCCCAGATAGCGCATGTGTTTAATATTTACATCGTATACACTAATTCAATGAAAATAAGCATTATACAATGAAACTTTGTATAATTAATTATATTATACTGTGCAAACACGTTTACGTTTTTCGTTATCAATCGAGGACGAGCGCCACCAATTATAGTTATATTCTCTCTCAAGTTTAGTATTATTGGAGATTTTTACCAATACAAACTGTAATATAAATCCAATATATCCAATGACATAGCTAGGATTTATATTTTGAAGAGAGCTGGTAATCTGTCGTACATAAGGGAGGCTTAATTCGAATCCCATTTAAGTTTTTTAGGATGATGCTGTAGGTATAATACACGATTTAGACTTTGCAGTAATCTTTTTCTAAATTACAATTTTAGTAAATCATTATTACGTTCTTACGTAATACGTTTACAGAATACTAAAACCATTTTACAACTTTCCATAAATATTAGAGAGAGCTGCAGTCTCTGAGCTTCGTCCTCAACAATGCCACTGATTCATATTTCTATCTGTTGTTGTTTCAGCGTTGACGTGATTTGGGGGTAGACAGACTGAAAATTCTTATGCATTTACCGTGGTACCGTGGAAACGCGTAAGTAATTTATGCAATAATAATTGCAGCATTCTCTCAAACAAACACTCCTCCTCCCTTCCCAACATAAATGCTGCAATTCGCAGTTTAAACAATATACGACCACTGTGGCTATTGCGCCACATGAACAGGACTACCGAGTAAAGTATTAGATGACGACTGCCGACTACAGGTAGGTGCACAAAACGGGGGCTGGGATGGAATTCGTCAAGAATCTCGTACCTCTAACCTAACGAAACTATTCATATCATACACCTATGTATAATATGATTATATTTTACGTACAAATTCGCGATCCTGTGGTAATATACCGGAAATAGGGATAAAACATTTTAATTCAGATGTTGTATAGTATACACATAATATTATAAATTCTAATAATATATTGTATACCATGTGCTCCTCTTGGCCGCACATTAAAATTGTTCGCCACACCATTATCACTATACTGCAAAATTGAACAAGTTAATCATTTTTCAATTTGTTGAAGTTTGAAATTAAAGTTTGTTTCTCAAATTTTTTAAATGCCTATCTTAATTAGAAATTAGTTTTTTTATGGTTTATAATATAAACTTAAAAGTCAGTTTATTCAAATATAAACTACCTAGGTATTATACGTTTAATAAATTAGTATTTAAATAAATCTATTGGTGTTAATAATGAAATGATTAGTTAAATTATATATAAAATTTATAAATAAAAAAAAATTTTCAAGTACTGACCTTTATTGCTCGCAAATAATGAATAGAAATATCGAAGTATCGACACATAGAATATAGATATTGTAGCACAACTATAACGCTACCAGAAAATAATGCAGCCAAGAAAATAGAATAAATATATAATATTATGGCATAAAATAATATTAATTAATTATTTATTGTATTAATATCAAGTATTTGTCAGAAGTAACTAGTGTAGCAGTTTATGATACATACAATTTTTGCAGTGATTAGATAAGTATTTTGTTATTGATCTGATAGATCAGATAATTACATGCATTAAATTTAACTAGGTACCTAGTTAAACTTAAAAAACTATCATTGATTGAAACAAATTAATTGTTCTAGATAAAAATTAATTGAAAGCTAGTTCTACTAAAAACATTTCAGGTTGTTTATACAGTGTAATAAAAATATGATTAAAAACGACTCAGTCATCTAATTTGCTTGACAGCGCATAATTTATATGAGTTTAGTGATTACTAAAATCACTATTTTATTTGGAGTACCGCCTCGAGTTGTTTGTGTACAAGAAAAGTGTTGAACTAAGGCATTAATGCATTAAGTTTTAAAGTTACTTTAAATTAAGCCGAGACCGTTTGTACAATTCCTAGAATTTCTATAGAATTCTAATGCTATGTTAGGTAAAATATAAAAATATATAGCGTTTAATCAAAATATGTATATAATTGCAACTATATTATGTGTTTATTTATATATTAGAGCATAAATTTGATACATGACATTTTAAACTGCGTAAAATATTATTTTTTTATTCAAATATTTATTCTTGTCTTAATATTTTAAATTACATTTATATTTGATAAAACTTTGTCCATTTCCCGTATATTTCTAGGTTATTATTTTTCGTGAAGCAAATGTATTTTCATTGAAACTCGTAAACCGTTATTAAAATTTGTTTGGCATATTGAAATAATTTAAGGACTTCAAGTTTGAGTACAAGGACTTAAAAATCCCATAACTACACCTCCAAGAAAAATCATATTTTATGAAACTGTTTCCGGCATATTTTAAGATGCCGTCGTCTGCTATAACGCGCAGTCGGTTCCGTGTCGAAAAGTTGTATTATACACATATTATGATAAACGGAAATTTCTAGGAAAACTACTGTATTTTTAAAATAATTACCGGAACGCTTGTAGATTACATTATAATGATATATTTTATAATATTGTGATATTGTAGGCTGCTAAATGACACCGTCACCCATTAGAAAAAGAAAAAAAGCATGTCAAGTTGATATATACACTACATTATATTACGTGACGCGTTACTTCAATATGTTGGGTAGATTTACTTTTCAAACGAAGCTCTACACGTTTTGGTCGATAACCGTAAAACGAAAAGGATACGAAATCACCGCACGCCGAGTTCTAGGGTCATTATGTCAGTATAACTCAATAATATGTCGCGCATAGTTTTGGATTCAATATGGGATTTTATATAGAGTCGATACTGTAAATAAAATGTGACATGTAATGTATGATGCGTGATGCTTTATAATATAGAAATAATATCATATTAAACGCATTTAAAATAATGCAATGCATTAGGCACATCGTGGTAAATTATTTTTCATCTTAAAAAATTTTACTTGTAACAGAAAATAGGTCTATTATTGGATTTCCGGCACTTAGACACCTAATAATTTCATATATGAGCGTTTGGTAAATAGTATAGTGTTTTAACACCGAATTATATGATTGTTTTTTGTCAGTCGGAGACTTTAACAATTTATTGATCTGGACAAGGTCACTAATAATTCGAGAAATCGACATTGATTTTCTATCTGCTATCGTACTCTATAATATATAGTTATATAATTATGTTGTGTTTTTGTTGCGATGGTGGTGACAGAATTCGCGTTTATTGTATATCATATTTATATTACTTCAACCACAGTTATCGTTCACTTTACGAATAAGAACATGTCTTTTCCCGTCATCCACTTATAATTTTCACATTTAATGGTATTTCAAAACGGTCTATTACCTGGTACAGCTGTCTCAATTCGCCTAGGAATTATCGTCGGCTATTTATCTTACATCATTATCGATATAGGTAGTCGTGTAACTATACGATTTATAGAACGGTTAGAATTTGCATGCAATTTATATTGTTGTCAGTCGTATATTTTAAGATTTTTGTCTATAATCGAAGTAGTTTTAAACAATTTTCTCTGCACACTTGATGATAATAATATATTTTCAGAAATTAAATTATTTAATATTTTTAAAACCTAATGAAGGTGTAAAATAATGTTTCGTCTAGTAAATTATTCTAATTCAGTAAAATTTCTGTGTAATGAACTTCCTTTTAAAAAACTACCTATTTCTGAAAATCAAATTTACTTAATTATATTTTTCATTTAACTAATAACAATCTTATTATCTTTAACAGAGAGTAAATTTTCTTGTTTATTATTTTTTAAGTAATTTCATTGGACAACTATTTGTTTTGTATTAATTACTATTACTATTATTCAAGTTTTTATACTTTTTTGAAATATATTTACATATCTAATAAACTAATAGATAATTATCAAATAAATGATTAAATAATGTTCATATTTTTTTATTTTTTACTATTTGGAAGTACCCATTTTAAAATATTAATTTGCATAATACTTTCATTATTTTTACTACATCATTAAACGTGACTATACGTTTTTAATATGTTTACATTTAAAACGACTAGTTTTTTTGTTTGTGAAAACATAGAAATGTAGTATAGTAATGTATATAAACGGCACACTTTTGACCGTTACAGCATCACTAGTGGTAGCATCTTTTTTTTTTTTTTGCTTTAGTAGTCTGACGTTAAGAGTTGAGATATACATAAGGTCGTCGCAAAATACCTATAGACCGTTTGGCCGAATTTAGAGTATATTATGTCATAATACGCTGCCATCGAATGATCGCACGCTTGTGCATTATACTCTTACAATGTATACTTAATACTCATATAACTTTATAAATGTACATATAACCACACAATAGCACACCCACACACACCCACGGTATATACTATATATATATATATATATATATATATCCACGCGCATTGATAGCTATATAGAACATAAAATGTAAGCTGACCGCAGTAAAAACACTGCGAATAAAACCTACGTTACGTAAAACATAAAAACATCCAATAATCGATTTCCGAAAAATGGCGCGGTGTACAGTACTAAATATAGTGCTACGCAGTAAACATATACATCCATTTAATGCGCTATGCCGATTGAAACCGCGCCTTAGCTTACACAGACTCAACGATAAACTATTATTATAGTCGTTGTTGTTGTTGTTGTTCACAAACATGGTGATTTTATTTATTACACACTATAATCGCAGTCTTTGATACACTACATACAGTAATAAACTTTCATTGCCAAACTGTACAAACCTAACATCTAAACAATCTTGTTTTATTATTATTATACGAGCTTTTCACCTGCGTAATGTTGTTAGGAAATCATGGTCAGCTTATATTTATGTATATATATATAGTTTGAAAAAGTAGGTACCAGAGACCGGAACCATAGATATATTATACAATTTCTAGATATATAAGCCATTTATACAGCTACTGGTGCCAGCACGACTTCTTAATCTAACTAATTTTGGAGTCTTATACATTAAGTGTAAATACGATGTTTAGTCTCTAAACGTTCGTTAATTTTACAAACGAATTTGAGTGCACAAACGAGGAACTATAAGTTAACTTTTTTACAAAAACTATTTGGAGTTTTTTATTTTGGTTATAGCTATGCACGATTAAAAAACTTAAAGTAGAGTTAGTTAAGTAAAAGTTCAGTGATACATTTAAGTTGAATACACCCTCCTAAAATAAAGTATATATTAAACTCATCATGAGTAAAAGAGTATCATGTAAGTACTTTAGTTGAACGGTTTTTAAAATTTGAAAAGAATGTAATAGTTTTGGTAAAATTTTCTCATTTTATATGTATTAGGTATATTTTTCTTACTAAAAATAAGCAAATTTAAACATATAGCTAATTTCTTTTTTATATTTATTTTTATTTTAACTTTTTTAATAATATCATGTTCCTAAATTTATAAATAAAAGCATTACAAAAATGATAAATTACTCAATGACAACGTATTAATAAATGTGTATAACCCAACGTTATTTTAATTTTATTATTATTCAACATCAGCTATTGGTACTAATTCTATTAACTTTTTTGCTAAATGTTTATCAAAAGATTATTTTCGTTTTCCTAATAACAAG